ACTGGTAAGCGTATTCAAGTAGAAAGTAAGTTATTGGATAAAACATACCACAGTTTCAAACAGGATAATTTTACAAATATATTGATACTTTTCAAATGAAAATATAGTATAAATTATTTCACAATAAAGCATTTCAAAATGAAATGAAACTTTATTGAAACTCAGAAATCCTCAGAAAAGTACCATATAAAAATTTAAAATCAGTATAATAGCACTTTTACCAGTAAAGTAGTTTTACGTTGCAGCAACTTTTATTTTAAGCATCCCTGTGCCATCTATATGCACGCAGGAGCAAAGCAACACCAATCTCCACAAAATCTTTAGAGGTAATGCGAAGTGGCAAAACTCTGCTCAGTTTTGGAGGAGAGGTAATTTCTTTTACCCATACTTAATTTGCCATTGCAAAAAACAATTCATAGTTGCCACTTTCTGTCTTGAACTATTTTACATACTTTCTTTCTAATTGAGCTGCAGAGTTTAGGAGATGTATATCATGACCATTTTTAAAAATAGAACATAAGAGTGCACCAGATTTTTAATATATAAAAAAACATAAATTATCTCAACTGGTATAGAAATAAAAGAAAAACCATTGTTCATAAGTGAGAAAATGAAACTATATTAATACCAAAAATAATATCCAAATATTCCTAAAATAAATATTATATTTTGTCATTGAATAATGAGAGTAAGAATGGAAAATAATTTCCAGTTCCTCCTGATATTATATGTGAGGTCGCGGCCAGTGCTGTATTTTCAGGGAAAGAAACAAAAACAAAAATATATTCCGAGGAAAAAATACAAATTATATTATAACAATAACTATGTAAAATTTTGTTTCATTATTGATTTATTGATTGAATTCTGTGGTAATTGAATACAAAGATTACTGTGAAAATTTCTGTCTATAATGCACTCGTGAAATATTTATTAAAGTAATTTAAGAGATGACATTCACTATACTTGAAAAGGATTCAATATTGGTGGCATTTTCTCAAGTTCTGGAAAAATTCTGCCAATAAATGATATAAAAGTGTATTTATAACAATAAAATTGGAAGAAGTTTTACATATGTTCATGGATAGAAAGACTCAGTAATGGGATAATTTTATGTTTGAAGTTGATCTATTGATTCAAACAAATTGTAATTAAAATGCCAACGTTCCTTTTCACAATGGGTTTGCTGTGAGAGCACGAGTGTAGGGAAAACCACCACTAAGCCAAAGCCATATAGGAAAGGAAATGCCTCATGCTAATGTCATCATCATCAGACACGTGGACTGCAGCAAGTCCACCACCACCAGCCATTCAAGCTACAAATGCAGTGGCATCATCAAAAGAACCATTGAAAATTTGAGAAGGAGGCTGCTGACAATGGGAAGGGTTCCTTCAAGTATGCCTGGGTGTTGGACAAGCTGAAAGCTGTGTGTGTGTGTGTGTGTGTGTGTGTGTGTGTGTGTGTGTGGTATCACCATTGACATCTCCCTGTGGAAATTTGAGACCAGCAAGTATTATGTGACCATCACCGATGCCCCTGGACACAGAGACTTCTTCAAAAACATGATTACAGGCACATCTCAGGCTGACCGTGTTGTCCTGATTGTTGCTGCTGGATTTCGTGAATTTGAAGCTGGTATCTCCAAGAATGGGCAGACTGGTGGGCATGCTCTTCTGGCTTACACACTGGGTGTGAAACAACTAATTGTTGGTGATAACAAAATGGATTCCACATGGCCACCCTACAGCCAGAAGAGATACAAGGAAATTGTTAAGGAAGTCAGAACTTTCATTAAGAAAATTGTCTATAACCCTGACACTGTAGCTTTTGTGCCAATATCTGGTTGGAATGGTGACAACAGGCTGGAGCCACATGCTGATATGCCTTGATTCAAAGGATGGACGTTCACTCATATGGCAATGCCAGTGGATGCACACTGCTTGAAGCTTTGGATTGCATGCTTCCACCCACTCGCCCAACTTACAAGCCTTTGCAGCTGCCCCTCCAGGTTGCCTACAAAATTGGTGGTATTGGTACTGTCCCTGTGGGCCAACTGGAGACTGGTGTTCTTAAACCAGGTTTGGTGGTTACCTTTGGTACAGGCAGCATCACAACTGAAGTCGTCTGTTGAAATGCACCAAGAAGTTTTGAGTGAAGCTCCTCCTAGGCACAATGTGGGATTCAATGATAAGAACATGTCTGTCAAAGATGTCCTGTGTGGCACTGTTGCTGGTGACAGCAAAAATGACCCACCAATGGAAGCAGCTGGTTTCACAGCTCAGGTGATTATTCTGAACCATCCTGGCCAGATCAGTGCTGGATATGCCCCATACTGGATTGTCACACAGCTCATATTGTTTGCAAGTTTGTTGACCTGAAAGAAAAGATTGATCACCAGTCTGGTAAGAAGCAGGAATATGGGTCCAAGTATTTGAAATCTGGTGATGCTGCCATTGTGGATGTGGTTCCAGGCAAGCCCATGTGTGTGGAGGGCTTGTCTGATTATCCACCTCTGGGTCATTTTACTGTTTGTAATATAAGACAGACAGTTACTGTGGGTGTCATCAAGTCTGGACAAGAAGGCTGTTGGAGTTGGCAAGGTCACCAAGTCTGCCCAGAAAGCTCAAAAGGTTAAATAAATATGATCCCTAACAACTGCCGTCCCAGTCTTAATCAGCAGCAGAAAACCAGGCTCTGAACTGTTTCTCCCAATTGGCCATTTAAGTTTAATAGTGAAAGACTGGTTAATAATAACAATGCATTGTAAAACCTTCAGAATGAAAGAAGAATGTTTTGTGGACCACTTTGTGTGTTTGTGAGTGTATGTGTGGCAGTTTTTTAGTTATTAATTTTTAAAATCTATACTTTTTAATGGGAACCACTGAACCAAAAATCTGCCACAGAATTTTGAGACTCACAAAAACAAAACTCAATAAGGAAAAAACAATGCCAATGTTTTGTGATGAACACTGCAACTTCTTGTGAAATATTTACATTCCTGAAACTTAGAAAATTATGCTGGTATTTCTGGAAGTTCTTGGATATTGAATGTGTTCCCCAATTGAATAGTTTAAGTTCATGTTGTGGGAACTGAAGTTGTTTCTGAAAATAACAAGGATCTTTGAAGCCACTTTTTTTTTTTTTTTTTTTTTTTTTTTTTTTTTTTTTTTTTTTTTTTTTTTTTTTTTTTTTTGCGGAATCAGGGATTGAACTCAGGCCCTTGCGCTTGCCAGGGAAGCGCTTATTCCACTGAGCCATCTCCCTGGCCTCTGAAGCCACTTTTAATGGTAGCATTTTTCTCTGTGCCATAAAAATTTTGAGAGGATTAAATGGAAATTATTCCTTTTATCATATTGTTTTTCTTAGTGTCTAGGAAATCAGAGAGGAACAATTAGACTAAACCAACCCAGTGAGTTTCTGTCTCTGTCTCTCTGTCTGTCTCTGTCTCTCTGTCTCCCTGTCTGTCTCTTTCTCCCCCTCTCTCTTTCTCTGTGAATTTGCATGTGACGGGGGGGGGAATCTTGGAATAAGAGAAATCCTGACGTTGGACAGATGACAAGTGGCATTTCACACTAGGTATGGAGGAATGTGTGAAGTGCCCGGATCACCAGTATGCTGATCTTCATCGCAAACACTGCCTCCAAAAATCGGTGACGTTTCTGGCTTATGAAGATGCCTTGGGGAAGGCTCTGGCTGGCACAGCCCTGAGCTTCACCACTCTCACAGCGATTGTTCTTGGGCTCTTTGTGAAGCACCGCGACACTCCGATCGTCAAGGCCAATAACCGCAGTCTCAGTTACATCTTGCTCCTCTCTCTGTCCTGCTGCTTCCTCTGCTCCTTGCTCTTCATTGGCCAGGCCAGCACAGCCACCTGTGTCCTGCAGCAGACCACATTTGGAATTGTGTTTACCGTGGCAGTTTCCACGGTCTTGGCCAAAACCATTACTGTGGTGCTGGCCTTTAAGGTCACTGGCCCAGCCAGAAGGATGAGGCAGTTGCTGGTGTCAGGGGCCCCTAACTGCATCATCCCCATCTGCTCCCTGATCCAACTCACTCTCTGTGGAGTCTGGATGGGAACAAGTCCACCGTTCATCGACACAGATGCCCACTCTGAACATGGCTTCATCATCATCGTGTGCAACAAGGGCTCCCTCACCGCCTTCTACTGTGTCCTGGGGTACCTGGGCTTGCTGGCCCTGGTGAGCTTCAGCGTGGCTTTCCTGGCCAGGAACCTGCCCGACACGTTCAATGAAGCCAAGTTCCTGACCTTCAGCATGCTGGTGTTCTGCAGCGTGTGGGTCACCTTCCTGCCCGTGTACCATAGCAGCAAGGGGAAGGCCATGGTGGCCATGGAGGTCTTCTCCATCTTGGCCTCCAGTGCAGGGCTGCTGGGTTGCATCTTTGCCCCTAAGTGTTACATTATTTTATTTCAAAAAGATATATATTCTTTGCAGGGAATTAAAGGGAAAACACATTTTAGGAGAAGGTAGCCTTAGCATACACATATATTTTCCTAAATTATATAGAAATATCAGGTAAGTGTGTACATTTTTCTGTGTAATATTTACTTCATTCAATAATTAGCACATTTTCCCTAATAATGATATAGTTACTACCATGTACAATCATTTTTTAAATTTTATTGTTACAGTGATTTTTTTGGATGCTCTCATCAAATCTGAAGTAAATATGTTTGCATAAATGATAATTTTATCATTTCTCTTCTATTATATTTTCCTTGGCTTCTAAATTGCTTTACTAATGATTTTAATTTACTAATATTTTTCTTTTCCTTACTGCTGCAGAAATCACTTGTGCTTTCAATTTTACTTTCTCATTGAAGAAAAACATTGCTGTAAATATGCTGATCCTACTATATTTTTATATTGATTGTGTATTTTTGTTACCTTTTCCAAATGTAATATTCATGAGAATATACTTGCAGAATTTGTTATATTAGTTATATTTATGTTATTACCTCTATCATTTTAGATTTGATAATCATGTTATAATGAATATTGTTAAATTTGTTATAGCAATCATACTGTTTCCCCACTCATAGTGAGTCAGATCTATTTATTTTTGTTTAATAAACTTCTATTAATGTGAAATTTGTATCTATTTTTCTGTATCTTCTGAATATATTAGGTAGATATATTTAATAATTAAAAAATTCATGTTCTATATCCTTATAGTATGCTAGCTTTTGCTGATGAAGTGAAAGGAAATTATCTCATTTGCAAAATTTTCAGTGCATAATTACTCATCTATCATTTTGACCAGATTTTTGTCCTGATTGTTGTGTTCTCTGAAATCCTTTGTCCCATAAAGCCCTATTATTTTATTCTGATGGCTTTTTCTGCTCATTTTTATTTTCCTTCTGGTGTTGCTGATTTTCTTTACATCCTCTTGGACAATCAATGGGTCAGACATGAAATTAAAGAAGACATTAGACAGTTTCTGCTAGCAAATGAAAATGCCATTTGGAAACTGTAGGACACAAGGACAGGAGTTTTCACAGTGATATTTATCACAGTGAATTCCCACATTAGAAAAAAAATTACACTCCAATAACTCTATGATGTAGAACAGGGTCTAGAAAGACAAGAACTCTCTAAATCCAAAGGAAGTACATAAAGGAAATTATAAAGATCAGTGCAAAAATAAGTGAAATTGACAAAAAGTATCCCACAAAGGATCAATGAAGCAAAGAAGTGATTCTTTGAAATTTTAAGAAAATGAAGTTATAGGGCTGGGGAATGGCTCAGTGGCTTAAATGCCTGTCTGGCAAGCATGAATTCCTGAGTTCAATTACCAGTACCGAAAAGAAAGAAGAAAGAAAGAAAGAAAGAAAGAAAGAAAGAAAGAAAGAAAGAAAGAAAGAAAGAAAGAAAGAAAGAAGAAAGAAAGAAGAAATAAAATGCAGACTTGAAAGGCAAAAAGCATATTAACTTACGATTGACATGTTATTTACCTGCTGTTGCTTACTCCTTTTTTTCCTGTGTTTAATTTTTTGCCCTATTTAGTGGGTGCCTTCTGTTCTTGTTCATGCAGTTTGGATCATTTTTGTCCCTCTCTAGAACATCTTTCAGTAGTCTGTGTAGGTTTGGCTTTGTCATCATGAAATTCTTTAGTTGTTCCTTGTCATGGAAGTATTTCATTTCTCCATCAAACTTGAAAGAGAGTTTTGCAGGGTATAGTAGTCTGGCTGGAATTTGTTTTCCTAGAGGACTTGAAGTACTCTGCTCCATGCTTTTTTTGCCTTCATGATTTGTGAAGAGAAGCTGGCTGTAATTCTGATGGGTTTTCCTTTGAATGTGATCTGCTTCTTTTCTTTAGTGGCTTTCAGTATATTATTTTTGTGTTGGATTTTTGAGTTCTTGACTATTATGTCTTGGCATGTTTTTAATTGGGTTGAAGTTATTTGGTGTTCTGTATGCTTCAGTTACTGGATGTCAGAATCTTTCCTCATATTTGGTAAGTTTTCTGCTATTACTTCTGTAACATCATGTAACTCAGTGTTTCCCAAATTTTCTGATCAAGGAGATTATGGGGCCACAGAGGAAAGTGATTGAGGATGTAGAGTATGCCTAAGGAGAGTCACATGGAGGGAAAACATTTTCTCAGGCTTTGACAGAGAGCAAATTGATCAAGCAATGGCCATGACTCATCCACATGACTGACACTGACAAAGAATCTACAAACTGAGGCACAGGGTTTCAGGATAAATCCTTAGGGGATTTGACTGACCTTATAAGGTACAAAAGCTACAATTCTTGTTGTATAGGTTTTGCTTTATCTTGTTCTTAACAATCCAGCAGAAAAGTATAAAAACGAAGTATAAGTAAAGCCATATTATTATGCTGAGTTATAAAAGACTCTAGTCAACAACTTCTGACATTGCCTGTCATATGGAAAGCCCACTACTATTATGGACTACTGAACTATCTTGGAATATTTTGCTGAATTCACACACCTATAATATTTAAATGACAAAGCTAAACAAAAAGGAATACAAATGAATGATCATTTTGTACCTGTATATACAAAATAGTTAAGATAGATATACAGCTACATTCTCTTAATTTAATGAATAGAGGTATTTGTTCTAGTAGTGTTTGTAAACAGGATATAATGTCTGCATCTTGTACAACTAATAAGCACTAAAAAACAATATGTAATGTATTAATTATTGTAACTGTCCTACTAATTTGATATTAAACTCTCTCATTGCTATTTGTTTCTCAATAAAATTATGGAAAAAATTTTAAAAAAAAGAAAGGCAAATAGCAGGGCTGGCCAAATAGCTCAGGAGATTAAAGAGCCTGCTTAGGCAGGCACAGTGGCCAGGGTTTGATCTACAGGCATGCCATGCAGGCCCTGTCTTCAGGGCACACTGAGACAATGGCAGCGATAAAGACTAGTTATTGTGATGTCGTGTGCCTGTAATCCCAGCTCTTGGGAGGCTGAACACAGGCTGAACACTAAGAGTCTGATCTACCTAGTGAGACCATGTAGACCATGTACTAAAATAAAAAATAAATAAAGAAAGAGAGAAATAAAGAGAGAATGGCACAAATCAATGTATCTTACCAAAATCTAGATAAAAAGGAAGCTCAGAAGAATTTCTAAATACATGTTAACTACAAAAGTTGAACCCAGAAGATACAAAAAATTTACATTAGACATTATCACTCAAGAAACCAGAAGAAATAGAAAAAAACCCCAAAATAAATAATGTAACTACAAAAATATCTCATTATAGACAGAAGGACTTTTGTCAAGTCAAGGCCAGCCTGGGGTACATAGTATCACCAAGACTATTACATGAGAGTGAAGAAACAGAATTGACAGACAGATTAATAAAAACTAGTACATGATGGCGTGTATACCAAAACTCTGTGTGCTTTCTGCTTCTTATCATGTCCATTATTTATAATAACACTTTAGGGGTAGCTCCTGCTTTAGGTCAGGATAGGTTTCTGGTGCATCCAGGTTGTGTCATGCTAAACAGGCCCTCGTAGTGGAAAACTTTCATCACCCTCAGATGAAACCCAGTGTGAGTTTAGGAGACAATGGGGTTCTGACTTCCTCAGACCTCAGGTTCACATATAGGTAAAGCTGTAGTCAGCATCCGCAATATAACTCACCTCTGGGAAAATAGAATTTAAAGAGAAAATAATGACTATTTCAGAAGAAAAACAGTTTATTGCAACCTCACCTCTAATATCAAAGGCATTAAGGAATGTTTGAGCCACAAAGAAAATGAGAAGCATAGAGACTGGATACACTCACTGAAGTGGAAAAAAATGTGGAATAAATATTAAAAAACTTGATTATACATTTTCAAATAGCCTCATGCGATTATTACATACAGTATAAATAGTAAAAAAAACTGTGGATAGTACCGTGTATTCTGACTGCTGTATTATGTGCAAAAATCACAAAAGAATGGTGTGGGGAAAAGAACTTCTTGTTTTAAATTTCAAACACATGACACTATATTCGAGAGTAAATGTATAAAACTAATGTCAGAACCTGTTTTTTTCTTATATTTTTATCTATTTATTTATTTGGTACAAGATCTTGCTACACAGCTCTTACTTGTAGTGATCCTCCTGTCTCAGCTGCTGTAATGCTAGGATTACAGGCATGCGTGTGCCACCACACCCAGTTTAAGTGGGTAGCACAGCACTTCCCGGGTATGCATGACTGACTTGGGTCCTTGTGCTTGCTAGGCATGTTCTTAGATGACTGATTTATCTCTCCAGACCATCACAGCCTGTTTTTGCATGATAATTGAAAGCAAGGGGAGCTGCACCACTGGTTGAGCTATATCCTTGTTCCTTTGGATGGATGGATGAATGGATGGATGGATGGATGGATGGATGGATGGATGGATGGATTGTTTGATTGATTGACTGATCAACTGAGTCAGGCTCTCACTAAGTGTCACAGGATGGACTCAGACTTTGTGACTCTCCTGCTTCAGCCACCTCTAGTGGTATGATTTTAGGTAGGCACCATTATGTGAGGCCCCTAAACTATGCTAAGTCCAGCTAGATAGGAATGGAATAACATGTATGGGTAGATAATGTACATCTTATTTTTAAAGAACTATATATTAACTTGGGTCTGTAGTATTTATGTTGAATTAAACTTAAAAATTTTAGAATGTCTAATGGATATATTCATACCCTAGTGAAAATGATAAGGAATGAAATCCTCATGAACAAAGAAAAGCATATTATTAATGTAAATAGCACATGAATAGCTTATAAATTAGGGTCACTTCATTGATGTACTAAAAGCATTTCACAAAATACAAGTATGTATGTGATCAGGATTCTTATATAATAAAAGAGTATCTCACATGGATGTATCTTTGACAAATACTCAGCTTAGACACTTAGCAGTAGAAATCTGGGACTTATTTACTCATGGTAGGAATCAGCCAGAGCGATGCTCCACTACATAGGTTTAACC